CCCACGGCTGAGCCGCACGCCGGGGGGCATCTCAGGGTGGACAGGAGGCACGTGGTCGCGCATCAGCTTCAGCACCAGCAGCAGCAGCATGCAGACCAGCCCCAGCGTGGCGTCGCCCACCCTGCAGACAGATGCTGGTCACTGCCCAGCGGCTACCGCTTCTGCTGGTAAGCTTTCTCTTGGCTGTGCTTTCCACTGTTTCCTAAGAAATCTGCATCCCTGTTCTAGTTCAAAGCTTTATAAGAAGCCCAGCAAGTCCACAGGCCCGCACAGGTCTGGGCGTCAAGGCCCAGGTCATCTCCTCCTGCTCCCCCAGCCAGAGAGTCCTGGCTGCTGGCTGGGTTCAGCCACGAGGATCTCCTGTTTGTCTCTTTAACCTGCCTGCCCTCTGGGAGGGACCCTCCATCTGAGGGAACCCAACGACTAGCTGTGTAGCCGCTATCACCTCTCTGCCTGCCAGCGGTCCCCAGGGCACCTGCATGTTCTGTGTACCTCTGCTTTCCCCGAGTTCTTTCTTCCTCACTGAACTATGAACTATGAACTTCTGAGAAGGGGACTGCCTGCCCTTCCTCTGCGTGGCGTCCTCAGACTCTCACACCCGGGAAAGCTCAGCGCCAGGGCAGGTGACCTGCTCTCAGGTTGCCTGTGCAGACCTCACACCTCACCAGGCACACAGACCGCCTGGGCTCCCAGTAAATCCTACTGATGAGGCCTGGGGTGCCTGGGTCTGCGTTTCTAACCAGCTATGGTGGTGAACTTACTGGAACAGCAAGGCCCTGGAGGACTGGAGTAAATGCCACGCGGGTCGGGGTGGGGGTTGGCAGCCGTGGCAATGCGGAGGGGCCGGGAGAGGGGGTCTGCAGGGAAGCGCCTCCTTATCTGGGGGCAGAACCCAAGGCCAGCAGGCTACCTGGTCTCTCCGATGTTCCCGAAGGTGTGGTACACTTGCAGGAAAAACTGCCTCGGGATGTTCTGCAAGCCCAGGAGGTTCTGTTCCAACAGGGGGGTTCAGTTAGACATCCTTCCCTGAGTGAGGCCTGGAGCCCTGCCGCTGTGTCTCCGCCCGCCCCAGAGTCCCCCGTCACACGAGGGCCCTTCCTGGGGCACCTCCCCGGCTCCCCCGGCCTCCCCGCGGACCACCTGCCCATTCCCACAGCCCAACTGCAGGGGATCAAAGTTACCCTCCAGGGAAAGTGCTTGGAGTCAATGACGCGACTGCGAATTGTTCTCATTTCTGAGGCGAACCAGCCCAGGGATCTCAAAGCAGGGAGACCGGCTGGACGGGGCCCTATTCAGGGTCCGCGGTCTGAGGCCCTGCCCCCGCCGCAAGGCCCCGCTGCCTCGGGTTCGCGCCCCTGCCCCGGGCCAGCCCAAGGACGCGTTTCGCTCGGAGGCACCCCCACCCCCACACGGCACCGCCTCTGAACAGGGAAAAACCCCCGCAGAGCTGAGGATGGGCCGCCTGGGCTTCCGGCCTCCGGGAACTGGTGCGGGAGACTCGGGTGTCAGGGCCTCCCACCACAATCCCGGGGGTCCGCCGTCGTGTGCTTTAGCTCTTCACCCCGCTTGAGACCCAGTGGGCAGTGTGGGGGCGGGAAGTCGAGGACCAGACTCCGTCCCGGGGCAGTGAGGCTCCGAGACCCCAGGGCGCGCACAGCCGGACCCAGGAAGGACTAGGTGGGCGGGAGCAAGAGCAGGTCAGGAGGACCCCACCCCGCCTGGGGGCTCGCGAACGAGTTAAGGCTTTTTAAAGTCTTGGGGTCCCCACATGCGCAGAGTTAAAGAATCTACCCTCTATGCTCTATGGGGGACCATCCTACGTGAAAGAACATTTTTGGCACTAAAAATGAAGGGTTTTGTTTCCAGAATAAGGGACAGACCACCCTACAAAATGGCATTTGCCAAACTTACCCTGACACAGGGCACACGTGATACACAGATCGGTTTGCCCACACCTTTCTAAGTGGAGAAAACCATAAACCTGCCTCCTGGGGAGCTGCGGGTGTTTCACCCAGTACCCAGGATACAGTAAGACGGCAACAAGCGCCTCCTACTGCCCCCTGCCAGCCTGGACCACACCTGCTGGTGGGAACCACGCCTTGGCCAGGCCAGGGGGTGACACCTGGTCACCAGGCAGGGGCCTCGGCTGCCACCCGGGGCCCCATGGCCTCATCTGCACCATCCGCCTCGGCCCCATTCTGCACACCCAGCTGAGCCCGCTCTGACTTCACTCCAAGCATAGCGCTGGGCGGGGCAGCAGCTGCCAGCAGAGCAGCTCCCGCCCTCCAGGGGCTTACATCGTGAAAGAGAGTAAAGGAACATCCTCAGATCACACATGATGACGGGGTCCAGCACTGCTTGCTGATGTTTTAAATAGTAACAAGGCAGCATGACACTTGAAATATATTAAACAGAAATTTGGGCAAAACACAAAAATGAAATCATCTAGCCAAGTTCACACAGGGACGCATCTGCTTGTCGACATTTTGGTAGGATAGCCTTGATTCGTGAGGGCCTGCTGGCCGAGTGTGCAGAAAACGCAACACAATGTCACCAGTTGGTGAGGACAGCCAAGCGCACTGGTCTACAAGCTCTGCCCAGAGCAGGGGCTGTCATCACCCGTCCCCTGAATCACCTGGTGTAGAACCTCACTGTCACTCAGCATTTACCCAAAGGGGTCATTTTATTAATGCAGATCCATGCAACAAGCCCCAGGGGCTCCAAGCTGTGGAATAGCAAGACAGCACCTGGCCCACATGTACCAGGGCCCGGCTGTGGTCCTGCTACCCAGCAGGTGCCCCGATGCCCACAGATGGCCTACCTTGATCTGCCCAAAGCCAATGGTGATGGTAGCAGCAGAGGTGAAACCTTTAATGACCGGGCAGGAGATGAAGTCCAGCAGGAACCCTGGCCAGCCAAAGGGAATGCCGAGCTGGTCTCAACCCTGCCCAGACCCAGGGCCCATGGGTGGATGTGGGCAGGGAGAGGTGGTACAGGTGGATTTGGGGCTAGGGGACTGGGGGCCAGCATGCCTTTATTAGGCTGGTCTGGAGAGCAGAAGAGGGAGGGCTAGGATATGAGGCGCGGGGCACTTCTCCTCATGTCCCGGCCCCTAAGCAGAAGGCCCCCTCCACACCCCCCTCCACACACGCATAGCCCCTGGAATGCAAAGGGGAAATGCTGAGGGCAGGGGCATCCCCTGGGGTGGGTGCCTCAGTGCCCCAGGAGCTGCCCCCAAACTCTACACAGCAGCAGGAAAGCACGGGAGTCTTACCCAAGTGCAGGAACCCCATGGCCAACTGGATGCAGCCTGACAGGAAGGCCAGAAGCACAGCATAGGCGGGGGCGTGGAAGGTGTAGAAGGAGACGAGCAGGGACATGATGGCCGTGGGGCCCAGAGTCACGTCCCGGGAGGTGCCCAGGAAGAAATACACGAAGCACCCCATGAAGGCAGAGTAGAGGCCGTACTGTGTGGGAGAGCACTGTGAGCGCCAGGGAGGCACGGGGCATGCCCACGGTGCCCCTGCTGCGGGCGTCTGGGCACAGGGACATCTGGTGCCCCTCGCGAGCCCTGGGCACACCACCCTAGGCAGGCAGGGCAAATCGCTTCCCTCTATTATTCACAGTTGTGGACCTGCACCTGCCCTGCACTCGGGGGCTCCCAGCCGAAGCCGGTGTGCGTGTGTGTACGTGAGTCTGCGAGCCGTAAGGCTGCCGGGGGTCATCTCACTGGCCTCATGAGACAATGCAGAACTGGCTGGGTGCTGCACGTGACACGTGTGACAAGGAAAGTTACAAGGGCGTGTCTGCCCAAAGGCAGTCACATGCTCCAGACATAAAGTAAGGCTTCTTGGGTCTCACGGGACTGGAGCTCTGGGTTCTGCGCTTGCCTGGAGAGGATACTATGCATTTGTACCCTGCTTCCAGGCGGGAGGCCTGGAGTGGGGTCCTGCCCTGTGAAGGGGATGTAGCTGGCAGGGGCGGCAGACATCTCACCTGGGGTGGGAGTCCAGCCACCTCAGCATAGGCCAAGGCCTGCGGAATGACTGTGAGCCCCACCGAGAGGCCAGCGATAAAGTCCATCTTCAGCCACTGCAGGGAGTAGTTAGGTAGCCAGGCCAGGATGGGCAGCCTCCTCTGCAGGGCCGCAGGCAAGCAGCAGCGGGCCTGGGGGCCCATACTGGTACCGGAGGGCCTCGCCGGACCCAGCGCCTTCACAGACGAGGGCATGCCTGAGATGGGCATGGGGGCAACGCAGAGCAGCAGTCAGAGTCCGAGATTCGGACAGCCCAGCAATAGGGCGGGGGGTCCAGGGTTACGGGGTGCGGGTTTGAGCCAGACGGGTTAAGTGTTCCCCTTGCTGGTCTAAGAGAGGAGGTAACGGCCGGTGCGCAGGGTGGGTGTGTGGCGCGGGGCTTCCCGAGGGCGCACCAAGCGGGCTCCGCCCATTACGGCGGACTGAGGCGCTGGGCGGCTGCAACCCGCGGCCGCGTCGAACCCCCACCCCCACCTGTGGCATTCGCGTCCCAGAGGAGCCCCGAGGTTCTAGTGGGTTCTGGGAGAACGTCAGAGGCGCCTCATTAACTAGGGTGCGCAGCAGCCTCTAGGGTCCCGGTGCCCCGTGTGCGCAGGGCCGGCCCGGGCCAGCCCCCACCCCCGGCCCCGGCGGGGCTGCTCTGTGCAGAACCCCACCCCGCCCCCGATGTGTGGCGGGGCCCTGAGGTCTGATGGTGGCTGACGGTCCGCGGCCCGCTGGTGCCAGCAAGACCGAGAGCCTTGGGACCTGCTGGGGAGGGGTCCTGCGGGAGACACCGCCCCTTGCGTCGGCCTCCCTGGCCACTCCCCGGCCGCTCTTCCGCGCCGCCCCGGGCCCCCGGCCTGCCGCCCCGCGGGCTCACCCTGCGCCGCAGCTCGGGGTCTCCCGACGTCTCCGACGGGTCCGGAGGAACCGCAACGGGAGGCGAGCGGAGGGCGGGGCCTCGCGCGCACGTGACCGGGGCGGGGCCGGACCGAGAGCCGCCGCCATCCGCCGCCATGCGCCGCTGGGGCTCGGCCTGCTGGGTGGTGGTGCTCGTCCTGGGGCTCTGCTGCGCGCACCGGGCGCGCTCCCGGAACGTGCTGCTGATCCTCGGTGAGTGCGCCCCGCCCCCCCCACGCTGCTCCCCCAGCGGCCAGCGCCGACCCGTGTGCCCTGCAGCCCTCCCCACTCCACCCCCGCCATGTCCTCCCGGTCTCTCCTCTCTGCTGCCCCAGCTCTTCGTGGCCGGCTCTTTGGAGAGGGAGGCAGGGGCGACGTCGCCACCGCGGGTCTGTAGGGGTCCCCGTCGTTCAGCACCCCGCAGTGCCCCCGGGTCTGATCCTGCACACCCCCCACCCCGCGCCCAGAGCAACCAGGGATAACCCTGCGGATCCCCCAGCTCGCGAAGCTGGGCGGCTTCCCGGAACTCGGGTCCACAGATCCCAGAGGGGATGCCGAAGAGCGGCTGGTGCCCATGTCCCCAGAGACGCGATCAGGGCACTTTGGGGTTCTCCTCTTCTCTCCAGCGGTGGTAGCCGTCTGAGTTTGCCCTGCTCTCCTCAGCCCCGGAGCGCTGTGGCTCAGCTCTCCTCCTGGCCGAGGGGCGCAGCCCCACTACCCACCTGCCCTCTCCCCGATCCCAAGTTCCTCCAACACCCTGCCGCTCACGAGACTTCCGCCTTGGGCAACCAGAGCGCATCACAGGGCAACCTGATTCTTTCCTCTTTTGAGGTCTGGCCCTCTGCCAGATTCACACTTTGTGATTAGCTTTGTGGTCACCAGCAAGGCCCTCCGGCTAATTGTAACATAAACAGCTGTCTACTGAGGGGCGGGCTCCTGCCTACTGGTCAACCTCGCCTGCCTACTCACCTGCCCCCCACACACACCCCAAGTTCAATGCCTGCCTGCTCACTGGGTTTTCATGCATGCCTGGGAGCATTCCCACCCAGGTTTCATGCCTGCTGAATGTCACACACCCTGGGAGTTATGTCCATCTGGGTATCACAATCACCTGGCATCGCTGGCCCAGGGCACTGTGGCAGGACCCCAGGGGTCCCTCCTCCTGAGCCCAGCCCACCGTGGCCTCTCTCCTGCCCACCTCAGCGGACGACGGAGGCTTTGAGAGCGGTGCTTACAACAACAGTGCCATCAGCACCCCTCACCTGGATGCCTTGGCCCGCCGCAGCCTGACCTTCCGCAGTGCCTTCACCTCTGTCAGCAGCTGCTCTCCCAGCCGGGCCAGCCTCCTCACCGGCCTGCCCCAGGTGAGGGGGGCAAGGGAAGGGCATGGGGAAGGTGTGCCCCTGACAGCTCTGCCGCAGGGAAGCCCTCCCTGGTCTCCCTTGGGGATTCGCCCACCTTCCCCCACCCCAGCCCAGTGGTCCAAGTGTGGGCTGGAGGCCCCAAGTACCCACCTGTGAGCCCTGGCCTCACTGCTGTGTGTGACTGTGAGCAAATCACATGCCTGTGTAATGCCTCGATCTCCTCACCTGGGAAGTGGGCATATTATGGGACTGGCCAAGTTAGTACTTTATATGTAAAGCACACAGTAAGGTGCCTGGCACTCACTTGCCCAGTGTTACCCCCTGTGATGTTGTCCCAGGAGCTCTTGTGAGGGTAATTGCTGCTGTTTAAGGCACTCTCCTAGTTTTCATTGTGCTAAGATATACGTAACATAACGTTCACCATTTTCACCATTTTGAAGAGTGTGCATCTCAGGGGTACCAGGTGCATTAACATTGCGCACCTGTCACCTTCCATCTCCAGAACTTTTTCATCTTCTCAAACCAAACACTGTGCCCACTAAACCCTAGCACTCCAGCCCCCCAGCCCCTGGCAATCTCCATCTGCTCTCTCTATGATTTGGCTACTCTGGGCACCTCGCACAAGTACTTGTCCTTTTGTGCTTGGCTTATTTCACTGAGCACGGGTCCTTCAGGATCGCCTGTGTCACAGCCTTACAGCAGCATGTGCTTCCTTTTCGATGCTGAGTCGTATGCCCTTGTACAGACAGAGCCCATTTTACCTGTGGCCATCTGCTGGTGGGCACTGGGTTGCATCTAGACTTGCCTGTTGTGAATAATGCTGCTACAGACGTGGGTATACAGGGCACGCGTGATGTGCTGTCTGCTGCCCTTCCCTTATGGGGAGGTGCTCTGCTCTGTGGGCCCCCATCTGAGGGACTGAGCCAAGTGAAGGCCCACAGAGAGGGAGGCTGGTCTGTGCACGTCTCCTGCAGGAATAGAGAGCTTTTCTCACTGTTTTCCGATTGGAGTTCAGCATGGACAGTGATTTCTTTTACACTATAGAAAAACCTAGTTAGTGAAGAGATGCCGACTGCTAACTTTTCCCCCACGACGTGTGCTCTTAATAGAAAGATTGGAAAGTACAGATAGGCAAAAAGGGAAGGAAAACCACCCTGATTTTGGTGTACATGTCGCAGTCTCACACTACCTGCTGCTGTCTCGCGGGAGGGACCAGGGGGCCTGTCTCAGTCCAGCAGGGAGGGAGAGGTGGAGAGAACCCCCCTGGGTGCTGGCCACGTGAGTCTAAATCAGGGACCTAAGAACAATGGGGTTCAGGAGCCAAGGTATGAATGGGAGCAGGCAGGGCAGGACCCTGGCTGCCGGGCAGTGCCCGGTCTCACAGTGTCTCTGCCCCAGCATCAGAACGGCATGTATGGCCTGCACCAGGACATCCACCACTTCAGCTCCTTCGACGGGGTGCAGAGCCTCCCACTGTTGCTGGGCCGCGCCGGTGTTCGCACAGGTAAGAGGCTGCGTGCCACAACCGGGACAGCACGGCACTTGGCCTCCCAGCCCCGGAGGGGCGGGGCCTTGTCCTGAGCCCCCCTCAGCCCTGCGGCTGCTCTGAGCACTTGTCCCCCAGGACCTGGGCCTCCTGCCTGGGCTGAGGGTCCATGAGAACAAGGCCCGGGGCTGCCCTTGGAGAGGCTTGGGGTGGGGAAGGGTGCAGAGAGGAGCAGGAGACTACGCGGGACCGTCTCCCCACCGCCAGGCATCGTTGGGAAGAAGCACGTGGGACCCGAAACGGTGTACCCGTTCGACTTCGCCTACACGGAAGAGAACGGCTCTGTGCTGCAGGTGGGGCGCAACATCACTAGAATTAAGCTGCTGGTCCGGAAATTCCTGCAGTCTCTGGACGACAGGTGCGGGGAGGCCCCCCCACCCCTCCCGAGCACTGCCAGGCCTCTGGGCGGTCCACGCAGGGTGCACATCCCAGACTAGTTGGGATTCTTAGAGTCCCCAGCAGCAGAGTCGGGGTTGGGGGGAGAACGCCAGATACTGAAGTTATCAGTGGTCAGAGCGGGAGGGAACATGGGGAAACTGAGGCAGTGAGGATAATGGGGGGACTTCAGTTCTAGGGGAGCAGGCAGAGCCGAGTGGGGAGTTTCCTCCTACAGATTGGGGCTCCCAGGGTAGGAAGCTGGGTGGGGTGCCGACTGCTGAGCTTGGCCCCACCCCCACCACCCCTGCAGGCCCTTCTTCCTCTATGTCGCCTTCCATGACCCCCACCGCTGCGGGCACTCCCAGCCCCAGTATGGGGCCTTCTGCGAGAAGTTTGGCAATGGGGAGAGTGGCATGGGGTGGATCCCAGACTGGACCCCCAAGACCTACGACCCCCAGGATGTGCTGGTAGGAGGGCCCCTCACCGTGTCTCCAGGACACCTGCCTGCCTCTCCCCCACTTCAGTCGGGGGCCGGGCCCTCCTGGGGACTTACAGCCCTGATTCCAGATGTGTGACTGAGCATGAAAGGAGACCCTCTGACCTCTGGGGTCCGGGTCCCTGTCTGAGGGGCTGGCGAGAGAGTGTAAATGCCCGAGTGGTGTATCCAGAAACATCCCCGTGGCTTCTGGGCTGATCCAGTCAACAGAAGGAAGACAATTTCAGGTCTTGGGAGAGAGGCACACCTTTATCTCCTACCCCAGTTCAGGGGTCATTCGCCTTGTCCTGTCCTCCAACCTATCTGCTCTAACCTTGCCTTCCCACCCACCTGTCCCCCAGGTGCCTTACTTTGTCCCTGACACCCCGGCGGCCCGAGCTGACCTGGCCGCTCAGTACACCACCATCAGCCGAATGGACCAAGGTGGGTTACAGTTGCCCAAGCAGTGGGATGGGCCACAGGCTGGGCCCCCATCCCGGGAAGTCTGAAACCACGGTGTGGACAGGGCCGTACTCCCTCGGAGGCTCTAGTGCAGAGTTCTTCCTGCGGGGCCCAGGCCCTCCTTGTGAGGACACGTGTCATTGGATTCAGGGTTCACCTGGGTACTTCAAGATGACTGCATCTTGGGAGCCCTGATTATTAAATCTGCAAAGATCCAGTTCCCAGGTTCTGGTTGGACATGCCTTATGGGGGGACCACCACTCAGTGTGCTGTAGGAAGTGTTGATGCCACTCGTTCATGGTGATCTGGGAAGGGGCTGGGTGTAGAGGCCATCCTGTCTCTGGCCCCCGCCCAAGACTCTGTTAGCTCCATGGGGCAGACATGAGGTTCCGCCAAACACAGAAACCAGCATATGGCTGGTAGCAGCCGCACAGGGGTGCCATGGAAGTGCCAAGAAATGGCCAGTGTCCCTAACGGGAAGGCAAAGGCCTCGGCCATGCAGTCCCTGCTTCAGGATGGGGCGCTTGGCAGTGTTGGGTGAGAGGCCTGGGCTGGTGGGAAGGACAACAGAGGTGGTCTGAGGACGTGACAGGCCCAGTGGCCAGGTGAGTCCACGCACATTCCCGCGCCTCCATGGCCGAGGCTGAGCTCTGCTCTCCCCCCTCTGCACCCCACAGGCATTGGACTCGTGCTCCAGGAGCTGCGTGGAGCAGGTGTCCTGAACGACACCCTGGTGATCTTCACGTCAGACAATGGGATCCCCTTCCCCAGTGGCAGGACCAACCTGTACTGGCCGGGCACCGCCGAGCCCTTGCTGGTGTCATCCCCGGAGCACCCGCAGCGCCAGGGCCAGGTCAGCGAGGCCTCCGTGAGCCTCCTAGGTATGCCTCTGGTGCTTACAGGTGAGGGGCACAAGCAAAAGTTCAGCTACGCCCAGACAGTGCCACAACTACTGCATTATGTGGGTGTGGGGTGGTCACCCCATCTGCAGATGCAGAAACTATCAGTGAGGTAAGTGACCAGGGTCACATGGCTTATCAGCTCCCACCCGGGATTCTAGACTGGGTCTTGCTGCCTTCAGGACTTTCCCACCAGCCTACTGGTGAGAGCCAGGCACCTGGACTGCTTTTCACAATTCGGATTGCAGGCTGCACCCCCAGGGTGCCTGACTCAGTAGATCTGGGGGTGGGGCCTGAGAATTTGCATTTCTAACAAGTGCCCAGGTGCTGCTGCGGGTGCCGGGGAATCCCGCGCTTTGCACAGTCGGGCTCCTGCGGACTGGGACGCATCTCTCCCTTTGGCCCCAAAACATAAGTCGAGGAGAGCTGTGGCCATAGCACAGAAGAGGAATAATGAGCTTCCTCACTGGTCCACGGTATTTAGAAGGATGCTGACGGCTGCCATGCTGGGGCCTTGTTACACCATCAGAGGCAGTGGGGCCCAGAGGGAGGGGCTGTATGCCAGGCGTTGGGTGCATGCAGCTCCCTGTTGGTGTCATGTCTCATGCTAGGTGGCCCACCAGCTTCCCAGATGGCTCGGCCTCAGCCCTGGGATGCGGGGCCAGTGTCCTGGGGTACCCACCATGCTAAGATGCCGCCTCCCTTCCAGATCTCACGCCCACCGTCTTGGATTGGTTCTCCATCCCCTACCCCAGCTACACCATCTTTGGCTCAAAGACCGTCGAGCTCACTGGCCGGTCCCTCCTGCCAGCACTGGAAGCAGAGCCCCTCTGGACCACCGTGTTTGGCAGCCAGAGCCACCATGAAGTCACCATGGCTTATCCCATGCGCTCAGTGTACCACCAGGGCTTCCGCCTCGTGCACAACCTCAGCTTCAGGATGCCCTTCCCTATCGACCAGGACTTCTACGTGTCGCCAACCTTTCAGGACCTCTTGAATCGCACCGTGGCCGGCCAGCCCACCGGCTGGTACAAGGACCTCCATCACTATTACTACCGGGAGCGCTGGGAGCTCTATGACAGGGGCCGGGACCCGTGGGAGACCCGGAACCTGGCCGCTGACCCTCGCTACGCACAGGTGCTGAGGCTGCTTCAGGCCCGGCTGGCCAAGTGGCAGTGGGAGACGCATGACCCCTGGGTGTGTGCTCCTGACGGTGTCCTGGAGGACAAGCCCTCCCCACAGTGCCGGCCGCTCCACAATGAGCTGTGAGGGCCGCTGGGCATGTGCCCCTCCCCAGGCCTAGGCCCCGACTCCCAGCCATTTCAGCTGATGGGGCAGGAGGGGAACAGCCCACAGCCCCTGCCTCTGCATCCTGCCTGAGGGGTGAGCAGGGCGTGTGCCCTGGCCCTTCCCCCACCCCCACCCCCGTGTTTGGGGACACTGCTGACCTTGTGTCTGAGCCGTGTCCCAGTACAGGAGTTGTAGGAGACCCTGGGATGGGATGGATTCCCAGCCCACAGCAGGTGAGGATGGTGTGAACAAGGGGTCTTGTTTTCTGAGTTGGGTTGGGGACCTGTGGATGGAAGGGGCTGGGACCTAGGGTTTGAGACCCTCTTCATTCTTTGGAACCCGCAGTTGTTCCTGGGCCTTCACCCAAGAGGAGATGGGGCTTCTCTGAGCCAAGCAGGTGGCGGTGGGCAGGTCCAGGCCTCACTGTCCGTGCTAGCACGGTGTCCGGCTTAATCCACCGACCCCCAGGCTGTGTTTCCACGAGGCCTCTGGGTCATGGCAGGCTCCCTTCACGAGTGTCATCCTGTGGTCTGTGCGGGCGGAACTCACCCTCTGTGTGAACGTCCGGGGGTGAGGCTCTCCCAAACTCTGGCCTGGGCTAGTTCTCCTTGGCTGAGCGCTGGTGTCTGTGGCACAGACGTTGCCTGTAGAGTGCTCCGGAACTGCCCCCCTCTGCCTGCCACAGAGCAGAAGCTCTGCCTAGGGAAACCAGGGGCGGGGAGGGCTTTGTCCCTTGAGTGGCTGGGCAACCCCACCCTTCCCTCTCCCGTCATCTCCTGGGTGTGTGGGGAGAGAGGCATAGGCCAGAGCTCCGTAAAAGCTTTTTATTTTAAGTGAAATATATTTATAGCAACACTAACCAGAATTCTAGAGCAGCTTCCAGGGGCACTGCTGTCAGGACACCCTCCTGGGTCCCTGGGCCAGGCACGGTGGCCATCAGGCGCAGACCACTGAAGATAACTGTTCAGTCGTTGGGAAACTATTCACTGGTTCACATGCCAGTCCCTGTAAACTAGAGTTACTGAGGCATGACTCTGCCGGAGGCAGGGTGACGCTGACCTTGGGGGCACTGGGGCCACCAGCCTGTGGCCTCAGTGGGTTTAGAAGGAGCCCTTTGACGCTGAAATGTGAAAGTGAAGTGCAGTGACTCAGGTCAGACCGGTAGGCAGCGGAAGACACCGGCCGCTCCTGGGCTCTGGGAGGCGCAGGAGATGCCCCCATCGGGGAGACATTCTCAGGGCCTCAGGTTCAGACCATGAGAAATGCGAAGTCTTGGCGAGAGGCAGAGAAGGTTTACATAGAAAAATGAGCAGATGGTTCAAAAGCCTGTTTATGGCCTGCACAGGGTGGGAGGGTGAGAGAGCTGGGCTTGTGTAGCGAGCTCCCACAAAGCCATACTGGCCAGGCCCTGACCTCAAAGGGCAGGACTGTGTTAATGGGTGCCGGGATCCCCACAGCCCTGGGAGGGAGGTGCAGGGGGTGGTTAGCAGGGGCTCTGCTCTATCCACACCACCTTCTTCTGCTCGTCTGCAGTGGCCGCGCGGATGCAGCCAAGCAGGGAGTCGAGGTCACTCCAGCTGTCGGGGGCCAGACAGCAGTAGAGACAGGGCACTCTGTCCAGCTCGCCCTCTTCCTGCCTGCCCGCGTCCAGGGGCTGCTCCTCCGAGGTGCTGAGCCACTGCAGGGCCTTCCTGCGCAGGCCAGAGAGGAGGACGGGCTTAGGGTGAGAAGCACTGGCTGCCCTGCAGAGCCCAGGACTCCGGCCATGGGTCCAGAACTCTAGGGGGCTGGCTGCACAGGTGCAAGTTCAAGTGCTTCCAGATGCAGGCAGCCCCGCTTCCAGGGGTCTGAGGGCAACGACATCACACAGAGGGGGATGGGGGCTCATTGCCACCCTCAGTTGTAAATTATAAAAGGGGCAGCAGGAGATCACTACTAAACACTGTCTTTTGGCATCTGTCCTCACCTAATGTGGGTGGGTTCTGACTGCATAAGCCCCAGTAAACATGGCCTTACTCAAGTTAAAGCAGGTTCTAGGTTTTTGCCCAACTGTCCTCCAGGCTGCTCCTGGGTGGGGCAGGGGAGGGCAGCAGGACCTTTGTCCCAGAAGTTGGGGGAACTGCCCCGTGACACTCCAGGAGCGAGGCTCGGAGCCTGGGGCCAGTTCACACCCCACTGGAAGCCCCTGGGGGCACCCCTACTTGAGTTTCTTTGCTGCCTTCTCGGTGATGGAGATGTGGATGACGATGGGGAAGATCTCCATCCTGTGCAGGGTGTGGACGCTGTGCAGCTGGACATCCAGGAGGGCGTGGGTGTTCTGGAGGGGGCAGGGCAGGGAGTCGGGATCTCAGCCTGGGCAAGTGGTGGAGCCCACGCACAGCCCAGAAGGGACAAGGAGGGCTGCAGTTTGTAGCAGAGGAGCATTGAGGGGTGTCTGCTGGGGGCCTTGGAGGTTAGCAGCAAGCATCCTGATTTCAAGGTCAGCCCTTCCTGCCTCGTGCTACCACCCTCCTGTGGAAATGCAGTCCCCAAGTCCTCAGCATAGCTGCCAGCCCCGCCCCTTACCTTGTCTATGAGAGACTCCACGGCTCGGTGGGTCACCCAGTAGCGGCCACCAGATGCCTCCTTCTCCTGGATGACGTCCCCTTTCTGCCTGGAGACATTGTACTCCTCTTGGCTCAAGTATTCTGAAGGTGACAGTGAACAGGATGTCACCTGATTGCATTGGGTCCTGAGGGATCCCCAAGCTACCCCCACTCCCCTCATGGACCCTTACCAGTCCTGGGGCAGCCCTTCCAGGGTGTCCTCTTCATACATCTGACCCAGCCCCTCCCACTCAGAAGAGTCTGTGTTCTGCACATTGACCTTACACCCCAGGTGCTCAGTCAATGCCCGGATGAGGGTGGCTGGGAGAGAGGACGACGTGGACGAACGAACCCTCCCATCACTTCCTCAAGCCTCAGATGAGAGCAGTTTAAACCTGTTAGTCCCTTAGATCCTTGCAATCTGTGGTTCCCAGCCAAAGGCAATTTGCCCCAAGGAATACTTGGCGCTGTCTAGTCGCTGTGGCACCTCGGGGGTGGGAGTGCCCCTGGCACATAGTGGGCTGAGCCCAGGGATGCCGTGCACATCTGACAACTCACAGAACAGCCCACACAGCAGAGTGACCCAGCCCCACTGGACGTCACAGTGCCGAGGCCAGGAGCCCTTCCCCTACGTGGAGCTGTTAATCATGTCCCCACCTTGCCGTTCTTTCTAGTTTTCTCGGGCCGACCACCACCCTTCCAAGTCAGACCCCCAGCTCCTAGCAGCCCCCCTCTCGTCTCCCTCCACCCCCCGTGCTGCCTGGCCACCGCCACCTTGGCCCCACGGGTTCTGGCAGCCTTCAGCTCGCCTGAGTCCTGAGCCAAGCCCTCTGCCATCCGTCCTCTGGTCTCCTTCCAGGACGGGCGCCCAAGGCCCAAGCCTGACCTCCTCCCTCACTGACTCCTTGCCCGATACATAAAGTTGCATGCCACCAGCGTGACTGGGTACCTCCCCGTAAGGGGTCTGGGCCTGCTGGCCTTCCAGCCTTTGTGTGTGCTGCTCCCGCAGCCTGGGCACCTCGTTCTGTCTCAGACCCACCCCTGCCTGCCTGCCAGATCCCGGCTCCCACGCTCTCCCCTCTCCAAAGAATCCTCCCAGTCTGGGCACTTGTGGAGCACAGCCCTGTCAGCCTGCCATGGCTTTACATGCCTGTCTCTGGAAAAGGATGGGTTGGCCCCGTCCCCGTCCCCCATCTGTCCCCCATCCCTGGCTCCCTACATAGAGCCTGGCACACAGGTGCTCATTAGAGGAACTGCCCAGAAACAGTTGCTTCCCTCTAGTCCCTCCGAATTACAAGCAGGTAGGACAGAGCCCTACTTATCCTCAGGCCACCACCCAGTTCCTCCACAGCATCACCTAGTGATGGGTAAGTGCCCACAAACACCTCACTCCCAACTCCAACCTCAGAACCACCTTTCCTGCTGCACAGGCACGCAGACCCTGTCCAATGGGACTGAGGGTTCCACCGGCCCATTTGTCTCCATGATTGTGGAGTGACTTTTGGCAGGTGGGTGGGTGCAGCCCTTGTGGGTCTGCCCTGGTCAGTACAGCCAACTTGCCAGCAGTAACTGCATGGAATAAACAGGGCTCCCCAAATTCACGTCCACCTGGAACCTCAGAATGTGACCTAATTGCACATAGTGTCTTTGCAGATGCGACTGGGTGCGATGAGGGCATACTGCAGCATGGTGGCCCTAAATCCAATGGCTGGTCCTAGAAGTCCATGAGAGGAGGACACAGATGGGAGGGAGGTGGCCACAGGCCAAGGAACACTGGGACTGCGGGCAGCACTGGCGCCGGGAGAGGTAGGAGGGCTCTCCCTTAGAGCCGCTGGGCCGGGCACAGCTGGCAGACACCGGACCTCAGACCTCTGGCCTCCACACGGGGAGAGAGTAAATCTCAGTCATCCTGAGTCCCCAGTGTGTGGTGATTTGTCACACAGCCCCGGGACATACATGCACACAACCACCTGAGCCCTGTTCTCTGCCCAGGCCCTACACTGTCTCCTGCAGGCAGGTGAGAACATACCTGCTGGACACTTCTTAAACCCATGGAGGAGGCAGAGCTTCTCGCTCAGGATCTTCCCAACCAGCTGGGGCGTGAGGAGCACGGGCCGGGGCTGGCTGGGCCTGTGGGGGGGGCGCCAGGGTGTAGGGCACCAGGGTGAGGCAGCTCTCGGCCCAGAAGCACACGGCAGGGGAGCTCTGCAGAGAGAGGAGCCTTGAATGGCCAGGGCTGGGCTGCCGCAGCCCCGTGTGTCAGCTCAGTGGCCCTCCACCCCAGGCACCATGTCCGTCTGTGCAGCAGCCGGGCTGTCCGTGCAGTTGTCCCAATGGCTTTGGACTGTCTGGGGCCGATCACACAGGCAGCAGTAGGGGTTGAAAGGAAATGAAAGATGGGTGTGCTAAGTGCTCCCAGAGAGGCCTGCAGACATCAGCTGCGATGCTCCAGCAGGTTCTGGCCTAAATGGGTGCTTCCTGGGCCCAGCTGGCCACGCAGCAGCTCCCAGGGCCCTCACTGCGCGGAGCCAGCTCCGCCCCTCACCTTCTGGCCTGCTGGGGTCCCACCGGCCCCCACTGAAGGACAAGCACCGAGCGCTGGCCTCGCTCCTGTCCACACTGACAACGCGTACCAGTCTGTGGAGCCCCCTGGAAGCCTGTTGGGCAGAGGGCATGCGGGGAGGTCGGTCCAGCCTCACCCAGGCACCTGCCCCCCTGGACCTTCAGGCCAGGCCCCAAGGAAGGGAGGCAGTGGAGGGCGGTCAGGTAGAGCCCTCGAGCAGGGCGTCCGTGTTGGGGGTGGGCTGTGAGTGGCAGGAAGGAGGAGTGGGGCTCCCGTGCCCAGGCCCTGCCATCCAGAGGGGCTGCTGGCGCCCTGCTTTGGGACAGCTGAGCATTGTGTGTCGGGGAACCTCAGAGGGAGGAAAGATGGGGAGCAGATGGACAAGCAAACGGGGTCGGGGGTACTGGTCATATACAGGGAGAGCATATGTGACGTATTTGCACACTTAGAGTCACTGCAGGCTAGGTTCTGTATACAGACCCAGGTGAGGGGGCTACGGGGGAGACATGCGGGTCATTTCCCTCAGCAACACCCCCTGCCCATGCCTGCCCTCTTCCAGCCCACCCCAGGTGGGGCTAGGATCCTCCCCGGGACAGCATGAGCTGGGAGAGAGGGTGGGGCCCCCGAATGGGACGGACCGCACCCAGGACCTGCACTCCCCGCCTCACCATGCCGGTGATGGCGCTCTGCTGAGCCATGTCCTGGATGAGGCCGATGAGCAGCTGCTGGGCCCTGTGAGGAGGACAGCCCCAACGCCACTGCTAGGAGGGCCGGCAGGGGAAGTGGGCTGCCGCCAGCGCTCCAGAACACCCCGTGGCCCCAGGTAGGGCCTTCCCACCCAGGTGGCCACAAGTCCCCTAGGGCTTTTAAAAAACTACAGAGCCTCAGCCCACCCTGAAGATGCCAATTGGATTGTTCTGAGGTGGGACGCAGGTGGTCGACTCAGTGTGAGCCTGGGCTGGGGCCTCCCCTCCAGAACCCCCTATCCCCCGTGTGGTCTCGGACTTTAGCCTGGCATCGCTGAGAAATACAGACTCTCATGCCCTCCCTGCACCTGATAAGCCTGCTCTCCAGGTGACCCAGATTTGCAGATTTGGAGGGTGCCCCACAAGACACCCTTGCCATGTGCATGACGGTTGATCTAGAACATGGTACTCAGCAGGGGTTTGTAGGGAGGTGACCCACTGTCTCAGCCCAGGACTGAGGGGTTCCCCGAGATGTGGGACTTTCTGTGCTGAAGAGACAGTCCTGGACACACCAGGGTGATTGGGCACCCTGCCCCCAGGGAACACTTGACAATGTCTAGAAACATTTTTGCTGTCATCGCAAGGGAGCAGGGGGGACTACTGGCATCAAGTAGGTGGAGGCCAAGGGTGCTGCTGCTCAATGTCCTGCATGCCTGGGACAAAGCATACCAGCCCCATGTGTCAACAGTACTGAGGCTGAGAATCTCTGGTCCTGAATGCTTTAGAATGCTCTGCGTCTCATTCGTTCCCCATAGAGGAACTTGGTGGGTGGCATGTTGGGGCATCTCATCACCCCCACCCTCTACTCCTGGGCAGGGGGAAAGCCTTCAGAAGAATCTCCCTCCTGGGCAGGAGGCCAGGCGATACCCTGTGCAGCTCCCCGGCCTCCCAGAGAGCTGTAGGGGCCCAGGACGGCTACTCACTGTGCATAGTTGGGGATGGTGCCATGCTGGGAGCCCTGGGTGCTCTGCGCTACTTCCCTGTGTTGTAAGTTTAGGAGAGTAGATATTT